GCTAATGAGGAACCTGTACATAGACCAAGAGGCAGTCGTTCGAACAGAGCAAGGGCATACTGCATGGTTTAAAATCAAGACAGGTGTGCATCAGGGTTGCATCCTTTTACCATACTTATTCAATCTGTATATTGAGAAAATAATCCAAGAAGCTGGGCTATATGAAGAAGAATGTGGCATCAGGGTTGGTGGAAGACTCACTAACAACCTGCAATGTGCAGATGACAAAACCTTGCTTGCTGAAAGTGAAAAGGACTTAAAGCGCTTACTGATGAAGATCTAAGACCACAGCCTTCAGTATGGATTACACCTCAACATAAAGAAAACAAAAATCCTCACAACTGGGCCAATAAGCAACATCATCATAAATAGACAAAAGTTTGATGTTGTCAAAGATTTCCTTTTACTTGGACCCACAATCAACGCCCATGGAAGCAGTAGTCAGGAAATCAAAGGATGTGTATTGCATTGGGTAAATCAGCTGCAAAAGACCTTGTTGAAGGGTTAAAAAGCAAAGATGTCACTTTGAAGACTAAGGTGCACCTGACCCAAGCCATGGTGTTTTCAGTCGCCTCATATAAGCTGGACAACGAATAAGGAAGACCGAAAAAGAATTGATGGCTTTGTATTATGGTGTTGGAGAAGAATATTGAATATACCATGGACTGCCAGAAGAACAAACAAATTTGTCTTGGAAGAAGTACAACCAGAATGCTCCTTAGAAGCAAGGATGACAAGAACTTCATCTCACATACTTCGGACATGTTGTCAGGAGGAACCAGTCCCTGGACAAGGTTATCATACTTGTTAAAGTAGAGGGTCAGGGAAAAAGAGGAAGACCCTCAATGAAATGGATTGACACAGTGGCTACAACAATGAGCTCAAGCATAACGATTATGAGGATGACGAAGGACAGAGTAGTGTTTCATTCTGTTGTACATAGGGTTGCTATGAATTGGAACCAATTCGATGGCACCTAACTACAACAACAGTACATACTGTGTACACACATTTGTTATTATTGTTGCCGAGTGGCTCTGACTTATATTGACTTATATATAATAGAACAAAATGTTGTCTGGTCCTGGTTTATATTTGGATATTTAAGCAGTTCCTAATATTTTGCAATTACAAATAATAATGTAATGTGCAGTTTTGTGTATGTGTGTTTTTGTATTTTAGAGGTGTATCTTCAGGATGAATTCCTACTAGTAGCGTTGCTCAAAAAGGGAAATGAATATGTAGTTTTATTAGATATTTCTATTATGGATTCAATTGTGTCCTCAAAAAATATGTGTTGTAAATCCTAACCTCTATGCCTGTGGTTATAATCCCATTTGGGAATGGGTTGCCTTTGTTATGTTAATGAGACAGGATTAGTGTAGGGTGTGTCTTGAGTCTATCTCTTTTGAGATGTAAAAGAGATTGAACAAGAAAGTGCAAGAAGCAGAGATGGGGGAAAAGAGATGCCAAGCCACATGAAGATCGCCCAGGAGCAAAAACTCGTAGAGACAAGGGACTTCCTCCAGAGCCAACAGAGAGAGAAAGCCTTTCCCAAGAGCTGGCACCCTGAATTCAGACTTCCAGCCTCCTAAACTTTGAGAAAATAAATTTCTGTTTGTTAAAGCTACCTATTTATGGTATTTCTATTGTAGCAGCACTGGATAACTAAAACAATTGCCAAATTCCCCACTATCAGAGTTGGATTTTTCTGCATTCCTACTACAGAGTGTGTTGTCAAGATGTTGACTTTTTACCCATCTGATGTGTGACAAATGGAATCTTAGTAATTTTTATTTGCAATTATATTATGAGTGATATATTTCTTATTTTTTATGGGTCATTTTTTATATCTCTTTCATTGAAGTGTCTATTCGTATATCGGGCCCATTTCTCAATAGGATTTTTATTCTTTGTTTCCTCAATTTTTAAAAATTCTTTGTATGTTAGGGGTATTAGTCCTTCATCTGTGATATATGTTACCAATATTTTCTCTTATTTTTTGTTAGTCTTTTTGCTTTGCTTATGGTATTTTATGCCATGCAAAAAGTTTGAATAGGTTTTTTGTTGTTTTGTTTTGTTTTGGTAATCAAATATATCAGTCTTTTGTCTTATTGTATGTGGACTTTGAATCACAATTAGAAAACCTTTCCCCACAGCCAGATTATGGAGGAATTCACCCATGTTTTCGTTCGTTCTTTTTTTTTTTTTAATTGTACTTTAGATGGTTTACAGAGCAAATTAGTTTCTCATTAAACAATTAACACACATACTGTTTTGTGACATTGGTTGCCAACCCCACGACATGTCAGCACTCTCCCCTTCTTGACCTTGGGTTTCCTATTACCAGCTTTCCTGTCCCTTCCTGCCTTCTTGTCCTCACCCCTGGGCTGGTGTGCCCATTTAGTCTTTGTTTTGTTTCATGGGCCTGTCTAACCTTTGGCTAAAGGGTGAACCTCAGGAGTGACTTCAGTACTGAGTAAAAGGGTGTCCAAGGGCCATGCTTTCAGGGTGTCTTCTGTCTCTGTCAGACCAGTAAGTCTGGTCTTTTTTTGTGAGTTAGAATTTTGTTCCACATTTTTCTCCAGCTCTGTCTGGAGCCCTCTGTTGTGATTCCTGTCAAAGCGGCACCCGTGTTTTCTTTTATCTTTTTCAAATGGCTATCAAGTTGTCCCAGCTCCATTTCTTAAAAAGTCCATCTTTGTCCCAGTAATTGAAGGTACCATTTTTATTAAATTATATTTCTGTATGTCATTGAGCCTATGTCTGATTTTCTGCCGTATTCCATTAGTCTGTCTATTCGTGTGACAGTATCACACTGTTGTGATTATAGAGGATCTGTAGTACGATTTAATATCTGGGAGACCTGATCCCCCTCCATAGCTCTTCTGTTTCAATTTTCCTACCTTTTCTTGTGTGTTTATTTTTCCATATGAACTTTAGCATCACCTTGTCCAGTTCCATAAAAAATTTTGTTGATATTTTTATTGAGATCACATTAAATTCACAACTGACACTTGACAATGTTGAGATGTTTCCATCAAGAACAACTGATGCCTTTCCATTTGATCAAGTCTACTTTTGTGTCTTTCAAGAGTGTTTTAAAGTTTTCTTCATATAGGTTTTACACATTTCTTGTAGTTTACTCCTAAGTATTTCATCTTTTTGTTGTTGACATTTTAAATGTTGTTGATATTTAAATAGAGTTTTATGTTCAATTATATCTTTATACTCATACTGTTATTATTTGTGTATTGATTTATTATGTTAATTTTATTTTCTGCTCCTTACTGAATTCTTCTAGCATTGTTTCTCTAGGGGTTTCCAGGAACACTATCATGTCACCTGCAGCTAGAGATAGTTTTTTCTTTTCTAATTCTTATGCCTCTAATTATTTTTTCTCATATAATTGCATTGGCTAATACTACTAGAACAATTTAAATAGTAGTGGAAGTAGTGGGCATTCTTGTCTTGTTCCTGACCTTAGTATGAATCCCTCTGGTGTTTCTCCATTTGATTTGCTAAGATGTTAGCTTTAGAATTGAAGTGTATTATTTTATCATTTTAAGGAAGCATTCAGGTATTCCTATTTTCTCAAAAGTTTTTATTAGGAATAGGTATAGAATTTTGTCATAGATTTTCCCAGAATATATAAATATAATTATATAATTTTCTCCTTAAGCCTGTTAATGTGATGAATTAATAGGTTTCCTAACATTGAACTAACCTTGCTTTCCTGGTATAAACCCCCACTTGGTTGTGGAGTATTATTTTCTTAATGTAGTGTTGAAGTCAGAGCAAGCCCTGGTGGTGCAGTGGTTAAGAGCTGACCTGCTAACCAAAAGGTTGGCAGTTCAAATCCACCAGCCACTCCTCGGAAACCCTATGGGGCCATTCTACTCTGTCCTATAGGGTCGCTATGAGTCGCAATCAGCTCAATGGTACCTAACAACAAAAACAACAATTGTTGAAATCTGTTTGCTAATATTATCTTCAGGATTTTTGCATCAATACTTACAGGTGTTATTGGTTTGTAATTTTTTATTATATTTTATTTGTCATATTTAGGTATAACTTTTATACTTGCTTTATAAAAGAAATTTGGAAGTTCTTCATTTTCTATGCCCTGAAACAATTTATATAGCATTGGGACTTTCTGATCTCTAAAGATTTGGTTGAATTCCCCTGAGCCTGGTGTTTTTTTGACAGATATTTCTTTAACAATTTCTCTATTTCTTCTAAGGACATTGGTCTGTTTAACTTTCTCTCTCTACTGGAGTCAATTTTGATAAACTGTATATTCTTAAAAGATTGTTTATTTCATCTAACTTTTCCTGTTTACTCAGATTTGTATAAAATAACTTCTTAAGTTTTTTTGTTTTTGTTTTTTTACTTCCTCCATATCAATAGTTATTTTTTTCCTTCTTGTCTCTTGTTTTCTATATTTGTGCTGTCTTGGTTTTTACTCAAATTAGCTAATGGTTTGTCTATTTTATTTTTTACAAGAACTATGATTTTTATTTATTAATTTAATCTACTGTTTTTCTATTCTCTACCACATTAATTTCTGCTTCTGTCTTTATTCTAGCTTTATTATTTCTTTCCTTGTACATTCTTTTGATTTGCTTTATTGTTTTTTTCTTGCTTTTTGAATTAAGAATTCATTTACTTTCATTCCTTCATTTTTACTAATAAAGGAGTTTAGAGCTATGAAATAGCCTCACTGCTTTAAGTGCAATTCACTGGTTCTAATATATGGCATTTTCATTAGAAACGTTGTAATTTCTGTTTGTACTTCCCTGGAGGACCAGTGTCCATGCCAAGCCAGATGCTGCATATGCCTAATGTCTCCCCAAATTCTGTGACAGGCCCCATGTGAAACAGTTGAGAAGCTCCAGAGACAGAACCCTGGTTGCAGTGGTGCACAGGTTTGGACTCTCACATCCATCTCTGTAAATAAGTGCTGATTGCGCCTGATGACATGCCATTTTTCCATGCAGGAAGGCCATTCCCGTGGAGCATGTGAAACATGTGGACAGAGAGCAGACCAAGAAGGTGGTGTACTCAGTGATCTATGGAGCAGGTAAGGCTGTGGCCACAGAAGTAAGGTCCCGGTGCAGTCTGTCAACCCGGTGAAAGTAGCTGTGATTGTGGGCCCTGTACTTCCATGTAGCTGTGCTTTGTTCAGGGAAGTCCCTTCCCAGGCTGTGGGACATACCATGCAAGTCTCTTTATGGTGTTTACACAGACACTTGAGGATGTTGTGATGCACCAGACAGTAGTCAGACCACCTTACATGTATGAACATGCTCAGTCCTCACGGCCAGCTCTTCAGACGAGAGAATGGAGGCACGGGGACATTAAGTGTCTTGACCAAGACAGCCTCGCTTTCTCCCCTCCCCCTGCTCCTACCTTTCCTCCTCCCTTTCTCCCCTTCTTCCTCCCTTCTACTTCTTTTGCCTCTCTTCTTCCTCCTCTCCCTTCCCCTCCTCCTCTGTCCCCAGGCAAAACAGGTCTTCCACTCTCTCTCCTCCTCCTCTCCCTTCAACTCTCTAACCAGGAGTTGTCAGGGCCTTTTAAATTCTTTTCTCTCTCTAGGTCATGCTGAATCCATGTGGCCTGGCTTTCCCTAAGGAGAGCAAGGGAGAGGGCCAGGAGAGGCTGTTGAATGGCCAGGCTGTCTTTAAGGAGGGGCTCATTCAGTTGTCTGGCCAGGCCTATGAGGGCCTCTAGCTCCCTTTGATTGGGTCTTCTGTGAGCAGTGGGGCTTTTGCAAAAACCCTGAGAAGATAATTCATCTTTCTGCCATGGAAAGCCTTTGTTTATTCAAGGAGAGGCACCAAAACTGAACACACTTCCAGTAAAAGAATAACTGGACAAATGCATAGTCAATTATCCATAAGAGCCACCTTGCAGTATGAATGCAGTTGCATCTGACATACTTCCAGAGTGGCCTCTTGCAACCAAAAGAGACCTGCATAAATGGAAAAACATACCATGCTTATGGATAGGTAGATTCAGCATTGTGAAACTGTCAATTCTACCCAAAGTAATCTACAAATACAATGCAATCCTGATCCAAATACCAACAGCATTCTTTAACGAGCTGGAAAAATTAATCATAACTTTATATGGAAAAGAAAGAGTCCCTAGATAAGTAAAGCATTATTGAAGAAGAAGAACAAAGTTGGAGGCCTTGCACTACCTGACCTCAGAACCTACTATACAGCTACGGTGGTCAAAACAACCTGGTACTGGTACAACGACAGACACATTGACCAATGAAACAGAATCGAGAACCCAGATGTAAATCCATCCACCTAAGGTCACCTGATCTTTGACAATGGCCCAAAGTCCATTAAATGGGGAAAAGACCATCTTTTTAACAAATGGTGCTGGCAAAACTGTATGTCCATCAGTTAAAAAATGAAACAAGACCCATACCTCACACCATACACAAAAACTAATTCAAAATGGATCAAAGACCTAAGTATAAAGCCAAAAACTATAAAGATCACGGAAGAAAAAATAGGGTCAACACTCGGGGCCCTAATACATGGCATAAACAGAATACAAACCATAATTAACAATAGACAAACACCAGAAGATAAGATGGATAAATGGAATCTTCTAAAAATTAAACACTTATGCTCATCAAAAGACTTCACCAAAAGAGTAAAAAGAGAACCTACAGTCTGGGAAAAAAAATTTTGGCTATGACATATCCGATGAAGATCTAATCTCTAAAATCTATAGGGAAATTCAACACCTCTACAATAAAAAGACAAATAATCCAATTAAAAAATGGGCAAAGGAAATGAGCAGACACTTCACCAAAGAAGACATTCAGGCAGCTAACAGACACATAAGGAAATGCTTGCAATCACTAGCCATTAGAGAAATGCAGATCAAAACTACAATGAGATACCATCTCATCCTGACATTACTGGTATGAATCAAAAAAAACAGAAAATTACAAATGTTGGAGAGGTTGCAGGGATATTGGATCTCTTATGCACTCCTGGTAGGAATGCAAAATGGTAAACCCATTTTGGAAAACAATATGGCGCTTCCTTAAAAAGCTAGAAATAGAAATACCATACGATCCAGCAATCTCACTCCTAGGAATATATCCTAGAGAAATAAGAGACATCAAACAAATAGACATATGCACACCCATGTTCATTGCAGCATTATTCACAATACCAAAAAGATGGAAACAACCTAACTGCTCATCAACAGATGAGTGGATAAACAAACTATGGTACGTATACACAATGGAATACTATGCAACAATAAAGAACAATGATGAATCCATAAAACATCTCACAATGTGAATGAATCTAGAGAGCATTATGCTGAGTGAAATAAGTCAATCACAAAAGGACAAATACTGTATGAGACCACTGTTGTAAAAACACATGAAAATGTTTCCACACAGAAAGAAACAATCTTTGATGGTTATGAGAAGGGGAGGGGTAAGGAGGAAAAAACACTAACTAGATAGTAGATAAGTGGTAACTTTAGTGAAGGGTAGGACAGTACACAATACTGGGATAGTCAGTACAACTTGACCAGGGTAAAGTAATAGAAGCTTCACAAACACATCCAAATGCCCTGAGGGACTGAGCTATTGGGCTGAGGGCTGGGGTCCATGGTCTCAGGGAACATCTAGCTCAATTGACATAACATAGTCTTTAAAGAAAATGTTCTACATCCGACTGTGGTGAGTAACGTCTGGGGTCTTAAAGCCTGCAAGCGGCCATCTAAGATACATCTACTGGTCCCATCCCGGCTGGAGCAAAGGAGAATGAAGAAAACCAAGACACAGGGGAAAAATTAATCCAAAGGGCTAATGGACCACAACTACCACAATCTCTACCAGACTGAGCCCAGAACAACTAGATGGCGCCCGGCTACCACCACCGACTGCTCTGACAGGGATCACAATAGAGGGTCCTGGACAGAGCGGGAGAAAAATGTAGAACAAAATTCACACACACACAAAAAAAAAAAAAAAAAAAACTGGCTTGCTAGTCTGACAGAGACTGGAGAAACCCCAATATAGTGTGGCCCCGGACACCCTTTTAAGTCAGTACTGAAGTCACTTCTGAGGTTCATCCTTCAGCCAAAGATTAGACAGGTTTATAGGACCAACAATAACACGTATGAGGAACGTGCTTCATAGTTGAATCATGTATAGGAGACTAATGGGCACACCAACCCAAAAGAAAGATGAGAAGGCAGCAAGGGACAGGAAAACCGGATGAACGGAAACGGGAACCTGGGCTGGAGCAGGGTAGAGTGTTGACACGTTGTGGGGTTGGCAACCAGTGTCACAAAACAATTTGTGTATTAACTGTTTAATGAGAAACTAATTTTCTCTGTAAACTTTCACCTAAAACACAATAAAAAAATATAAAAAAGTGGCCTCTTGCCATGGTAAATGCACTGTTTTTGATGGATCGAGAACCCACCTCAAACCAGCCAGGCAGGTGCCCACCTCAATGCTTTTGTACCAGCTCTTCCCTCTCCTGGATGCCTCTCCTCCCATGTCCACTTCACTCCCCCCCTCACCTCTCAGATCTTTGCTGAAGTGTTCGTTCTCAGCCTTTCTTGACCAGTGTATTAGTTATCCATCGCTGTGTAACACATTACCACAAGCTTAGAGACTTAAAACACACACATTTGTAATCTAACAGTTTCTGTGGGTCAGGAGTCTGGGCACAGCTTAGCTGGTCCTCTGCAAGCCTGCAATCAAGGTGTCAGCTGGGGCTGCAATCTCATCTGAGACTCAGCTGGGGAGGGATCCACTCTTGGCAGCAGGCTTCCATTACTCACTGGCATCAGCCAGAGGCTGCCCTCAGCTCTTTGCCACATGAGCCTCCTAACATCGGCCATCTACAGCATGACAGCTTCCTTCTTCAAAGCCAGTGAGGAAGGGAGAGATGTCAGCAAGATAGACACTACAGTTTGATGTAATATAATCACATACATCCGTCATCTTTGCCATATTCTGTTAGTCAGAAGCTAGTCACAGCTCCCACCCACACTCAAGGCGAGAGGGTCACACCAAATGGCAGGGACAACGGGGCCACCTTAGAGTCTGTCTGCCACAGCGACCCTATTTCGATGCGGTCTTCCCCACCCCGCCCCCATAGCACTCTGTCATCTTCACTGCCTCGTTGCCCCCACAGCACTCACTCTCTGTACTGACTCACGTCTTCACCTGCTCGTTCTCCCAGCTAGAGCGTAAGCCCCTGAAGTCAGGGGTTCAAGTCTGTTTAGCTTCCTGCCTGGCACAGAGTAGGCACACAGTAAATATTTGTTGAACAAATTAATGAACTTGGTAGTCCTATTGCTCAACTTTTGAAAACATGTTCATTATGTACAGTTTTTGGAAAATAGACTAAGAGACTTTGTTTTAAAGAACCATAATCAGTGGGCAATAGTAGTTTGACACTGGATGGGTTCTTCTGAGTTAATTGGCCCATTTCATCCTCTCTGCCTCTTCTCTGCTGTGCCCCAGAACCTTTCTGGGGCCTCTGTCTTGGGGAGAAGGCAGCATTCTGCCAAATTATGTTAGATCTTGATGCCTGCATCCTGCTTCAGGGTCATATGTCTCAGACATACCGTCAGTTTCGGTCCACAAGCAGAACGTCACCTCCCCCTCTGGGCCAGGCAGTCTGGGCTGAAGTCCCAACTCTGTCACCTCCTGGACCTCATACAAGGCCCTCCACCTCTCTGTGCCTCAGTCTGGTAAATGCGACTATAGGAATACCTCCCGCAGGGTTGCTGGCACATACCTGGTGTGCTATGAACCCTCATCTTCACCCGGCACCTAGCCTGGGTCCTGCTTCAGTGATGTAGTAGTTCAGGAAATGTTTTCCAAGTGAGTGAGCAGCTTCTGTGTGTCTTCTGTGACACCTACCACCCGACTGGGGATGGTTGACTCTAACCTAGCGGGGGGAAGAGAAGGCCGTGTGTGCCGAGCGCCTGCTGGCTGTCGGCTCTGCCCCACGTGGCCCGGCAGGATGGTGGGGGGCGCCCCCTCCCCACTGCTGCCCTGATGCACACAGAGGA